TTAAATTCAAATAATATTACTCATAGTAATAATAATAGTTAGTATAGATCTCAATTATTTTTTTACTCAATTTTATTAAATCATAGAATACACACGATGTATGAATTTTAATTTTAATATATAATAGAGAGAATTTTAATTTTTAATTTGTTGAATTATTCATTCACTGATATTGAATTGATAACGAGTCTCAATCCTTTTTCAGATCGCTCTACCAATCAATGATAGTGATGAATTAAGTAAGTTAATAAAATTTAGGGTTAGTTGCATTGGAGGTCCTCAAAGTATGGAGTCTATTTTATTTTGATCCTCAGTATTTCAATTGCATCATTTTGATCTCTGAAATATTAAATATGTTTTTATGTGGTCTTTCAAATAAACAATATTCAAATTGTTAACGATTTTTTATCATAAACTTATTACGTGATACTTAAATATAAAAAAAAAAATAATTTGAGTAACTCTTAACTAAAATTTGGATAAAAATTTAGTCAAGAGTTATCCAAATTATTATTTTTGTCCATATTTAAGTATTAAATAATAAATTTATAATAAAAAATAATGAACAATCTGGACACTGTCTGTTTATTTGAGAGACCACATAGAAATATAATATATTCAATACTTCAGAGACTAAAATGATGCAATTAAAATATTAAAGACCAAAATACAACAAACTTCATACTTTAAGGACTTCCGATGCAATTAACCGTTAAATTTAAATAATATATTCTCATGTAAATTATATCATTTTGAAAAAAGGAATTGTGCAAATTTTGTCAAATAATACTACTTGTTCGTAGCTAGTATTATAATGACCTCCTAGCATTATGACATATCCCTTTGTTCGAAACTAATCCAATTCCGATCACCATCATATTCATTACCTTTTAACACAATTTCATTTAATGATAAATTATCTATCGTGTATAAATAAAGAGGCTACATATACATAATAAATTCCACATAGAATACATAGTAGGTGATTTACTATTAAATGAAGTTGTGTAAAAAAATAATTAAAAAAATCTCAATCCGATCCCGATGAAATGCGACTCAAGGGCATTGCAGAGTCACCATCCAGTTACAAGAAGATCCGATTACAGTCAGTAATTACTTCCATGTAATATAATAACTACCTCATATAAGTAGTAAAACTAACTTTATCCGTTTGATTATTTCTTCTCAGACGGTGATAGGAAGTAACGAAGAGAAAGTAATTTTATCGTTATATTAAATATTTACTCTGTTTGTTGACTCCCACGTCGAGTATACAGAAATGAGATAACATTTAACACCTCTGGTCGCATTCTCAAAGACAAAACGAAAACTACTAAGGAAATAAATGGTAATGGGAAAGGAGCTGGATATAGGCAGTTGAAGCTCATACATCGTGCCAGTTTCCTTTTTTTTTTTTCGTTTTTTTTAGTAAATTGCATGCACATATAACTCTCAAATTATTACCTTTGTATGTCAATTAAACCTCTGAACTTTTTTTTTTATGTCAATTAAACTTCAAAACTCTCTAATTGTGTCAATTAAACGTTTCTAACAAGAAGTGATGGTTGGAGTAAACTACACAAATATCGCTCAAACTATGACCAGTGGATCATGTAAGCCCTTGAACTCTTTTTTTTTTTTTGGTCAATTGAGCTCCCAAACGCTGTAATTGTGTAAATTAGATCCTTTTGTCTTTTTGAGCCATACAGTCATGTTACGAGCACACTCTAACGAAGGTAGGCAGAAGGGCTCCAACGACACAATTAGAGGATTTTGAGACTCAATTGACACAAAAAAAAAAATTGAAAGACTTAATTGACACAATAATCACAATTTAAGGGCCATATATGTAGTTTACTCAAAAAAAATTACAAAGAAACGTGCAATACCAGTGTCTTCCTATCTTTCATATAATATTTCTTCAACAATCTCTCTTCTTTTTTTTTGTCGTAATCATAGACAATGATAAAATCAGATATGATAACTTCTTACAAGTGAAAGATACGAAAGGCAAACATAAGATCAAGAGATACGAGAGGAGGAAATTTACAATCACAAGTTCCAGATGACAGCAAAAACCACCTTTATTAATTATATGATCAAGCATTGATGTGCACCTGTAATCTTTTTCCTCAAAATAACCAACAGGGACATGTCCTGCCTCATGCCCTTCAAAACTAAAAACTTGAGACAGTTAGAAAATCCTCAAGCCCCAATCTCGGTTACCATGTCCTCTGGTCAACACTGATCTTCGGTGTAAAATGCTATGAGCTTTGTGGCAAGACAAGATGAAGTTAGGAGTCCTTGGAAATAATCTGATCAGCTGATTGTGATCTTTGATTTCTTGGTAGCAAATATNTCAAAATAACCAACAGGGACATGTCCTGCCTCATGCCCTTCAAAACTAAAAACTTGAGACAGTTAGAAAATCCTCAAGCCCCAATCTCGGTTACCATGTCCTCTGGTCAACACTGATCTTCGGTGTAAAATGCTATGAGCTTTGTGGCAAGACAAGATGAAGTTAGGAGTCCTTGGAAATAATCTGATCAGCTGATTGTGAGCTTTGATTTCTTGGTAGCAAATATGATGGAAGAAATGATGGGATCACAAATGCCAGTCCCAAGCAAAGCAATACCAAAATTACAACCCACCAGGCTTTGTGGGGGATGCCTAATAATAGTTCGTCACAAACTGCCATGAAGATGGATAAATACAAAAGAGAATTAACTAAGACACCAATTTAAGACAGAAAATAGATAATTCATGTCTACTGTATGATGATTCAAGTCAAAATAATTACTTTGTGAAATCTATAATTTTTTTGGATATATGCCATACAAAAACTGGGTTTGGCTCCTCTCCAGTTGCAAAATAATTGGAGAATCCACCTTTTAAAAGGCAAGAATGAGTCCTTATCCACAAATCTTAAATTTGAAATGGTACTTTCAATTTTTAAAAAACCAAAACAGACTGAATTAGTGCATATGGCAGATCCTTACCCATTCAAAGATAATTGGAGAATCCTCCAATTATTTTGCAATCGGAGAAGAGAAGAGCATAACATCAAAAGACTAATATCACAAATGGGAAGAAACAACCATAACTGATCTTGTATTATCAATAACAATACAAGACTAGTAACAGTAACCTGTCCTAAAGTAGTGCAAAACTACATCCAAGGGATCTGGTTTTTGGTTATGTTTTGGGATTAAAGTAAGAATAACAAGCTTCTAAATCATTTTATGTGAGAAGGTATCAGGAATCATGATGTACACCAGAAATTTAACCACAGTAACACTGTTTAATTGAAATAATTTCATCTAAACTCAACACAGCTTCAGACCCTAAGGACTTGGAGTTGGTTTTTGAGTCCTTCATATCCATTAGTTCTATGTAAAGCAATACTATTTATGTTTTTCACATAATGACTTTTCTCAAAAGCCCAGTCACTTCTCTATACCTATTCTTGTTACTGAATTTCTAATATTACTATAATCAAATCAGTCCACCATGCAAATAAAGAAGTCCTAGATTGTTAAAGTAAAAGGTGACACATAATGCTTACCCAAAATGGATGGAGGGTTATTTATCAGAATTCAAAAGCAAAATCAGTAACCACTGCCCATATTAATACATCTCAGGGTTATTTATCATAATTCAGAAGTTAACTCTGTGACCATTGCCCATATTAATACATCTCAGGTGCAGAACTTGAAGTACTATACATACCAAGAGTGCGTAAATGTCCTAAAACCGCTAAGATTGTGAAGCCTTTCAAGCACCCATTTACAAATAAACTGAGCAAACATAGACAAATATAAATATTCCCAATTGGCCTTAGGCAACCAGACCCAGGGATCAAATTTTTGTAAAGGTGTTTCAGTCAACTAGAAAACATCTTCGAAAGAAAGACAAAATTTGAAATTTTGATACTGAAACATAGGAATTTTGATTTTCATCACTGACTGATTTCAGTTTTCACTGAAACCAAAAAGTTTTGGTTGTTTCATCCAAAAAGAAAAAACTTTTAACATTGAGCAGACCTCTAATTCGTAAACAATCAAAGATCTATATAAACTATATGATGCAGACTGGAAGAAGAATTTGGAGAAAGAGAAGAGAATATTAGAAAAAGAATGATTAAAAAAAGAGAGGGTAATTAAAAAGAAGAAAACGAGATGCGAACAGAGGAAGAAGAGCATAAGAAGAAAGAAAAAGGAGATTGGTAAGGAATCAAATCAAAGTATAGCTTGCAAAAATCTGCATATCCATCCAGTTTATTTAATAACAGCAACACACTAAATTACGGAGTCCTAATCTAAACCTACTATGCCTAATAGGTATCTACTAAAACTAAAAAACAAATCCTAGGACAGCATCCCATAAATAAATTAACCGAATGACAAATTAATCCATCGAAATAATCAAAATCTCAATAAAATCCTTAGATCTACCTATATGCCTACAAAAACGAGGACAATCTGATTCCCATCATTATATCCCTAAAACTGTTAGCTTTGACAAAAATAGTAAGTAACAAATGAACAGCAGAAGTAAATTATTTTTCCCCTTATCTTCCCATTCTTTTAATCCAGCAGCCCTGTGACGAAGATGCTTAAGCTCCATTTAAATTTCTTTCTAATGACCGACACAATTAAGGAGCTTCCATGTTAAAGATAGCAATTTCCTTTCTGTTTACATTTGTCTAACAGTTATTCTTTAATGACTAGGTGGTCATCAAATAATCATTGAGATTGGAGCAACGACCGAGAATTCATAACTGAGGCGCGTCAATTGTTAAACTATTTCCAAACCCCTTAACAAACAAAGAGAAAAGTGATTGACCAAAAGAAGTGTAAAGTCCTGTGAAAAAGAAGGAAAAAACAGTCCCTGAAAAAACTGTAAAGTCTGTATGAAACAACTAATGCAACATTTCAAATGAAAGAATAGACATAACTAGTGGCCATAAGTTATGAAATCTGTAATCAATTTGCTATTACCTAGAAAAGAATATCAGAATTACCTATATTATAAATGACATATTCCCTCTCTTGTCCGTGTGGTATTGCAACAATCCCCTCAGGCTCCACAGTCACCAGGACATACATTCCACCCTAAACAAAACTGTTCATTTAAAGCTTCTCAAAGGCAAAAAATATTCTGATAGGAAGAGAATAATAAAACCTGGTTAGTAAACAAGTCCAGGTCATCACTCTTGAAAATTAACTTTCCAGTGTTGAGTAATTTCCTTTGCCGGTTCAGCCCCAGTTCTGAATTGCCTCTCTTCAGTTGTATAGAAAAGCTAGAAGGTATTTGTCATTCAATCTAATGAGTTAACTGATAAATAAAACTATGAGGTTAGATACAATGCACATACAGAAGCTGAATATGAGATCTTCACTTTGTACCACGTATGTGATTTAAGCCCTTGCAGTTGGTAAAGTCGGGAGCCCATTTGTAATGGCAGCGTTGCCTTCCACAGCTCCTCTCCAACAGTCAAAACTTTGCTTTCAATCCTGTGAAATAGCATAAGATTTTCATGCAATGCAAATACTAAACACCATTTAAACAATATGTTTTGCTGTTAATTAATGTTTCCTACTGATATCCATTGCAAAAGCTTTCAAGCAAACTTACAAATTCCCATGACTGAATGGCAGGCCACTGCAAATGAGACTGCCAATATGAAACAGAATGAACAAATTACGGATATAAACACTCAGCATTAGGCCTGGGACCTAACATTGTTGCCCCCAAATTAATCAACTCTAACTTGTGCGATAGTGGTCATTGTTTTCTGCAGTGATAAAATACTCGGGCTAGCAGCAGAAAGGTTATTGGGTCAAATCTGAAAACAATGATTTCGTGAGTATAATGCCTGAAGGTTAGACTGTACCCATCCACCTCTTCCAACAGCCCGGTTAACAAAGCCAAATTGCCAAATTGTATAAAGACCTTCAACTCTAACTTGTTGAATTAGCCTATGATCGTTGAACATACAGAACAAGAACATCAACAACTGAAAATGAACCAACATATCAGAGCTCGTTAGTAGCCTTATCACTGCATTGTTCGTGTTTAACCATTTGTGCGGCACTGAACAAACTCTTTTCCCAACATTTATGGGGTTGGCTACATGAATCCAGTTTTGCCATTAAGCACTATTAAGGGCTATGTTTTCTCATAAAATTCATGTTCATTTATGCCTACATGCCCGGTATTGATTTTCAGCAGACCTGCTCGCTCTGTTTAGCTGCTGAAAAAATTCACTACAAACACATACCTGCATATGTAACTTTACACACATACCACGCTTAAGAATCCTGAATTATAACTCACATTGAAGTTACTACCTCTCCGCCATATCAGGTGCCAACATTCCAAAATGGGTATCAATTTCACGACCACAAATGTTCGGTTGATGCAAAAATTGAGTACAAACACATACACACTTGGACGCAACACATACAATCGCCTAAGAATCCTGACTTGAAATTATGGTGGAATTGGTAGCTCTCCGGTATATTGGGTGCCAAAGATTCATAATTATAGACTATAAAGGCAACTTCAAACTAAAATTAGATGCATGTAGATGTAGCATGTATATGTGTAATGGAGAATATGAATGAAAATACGAGAGGACTCACCGGTAGAGGACAGTCGAAAACCGTACAATTGCCCAGATCGATTGGGGCTCATTCAAATGTTTTGGAACTCGCTTCACGGGCTCTCTTTAACTGCCCAGACAACCAGCGTTCTTGCATCACCGTTTCTTATGGAGATACAAAATGATAAAAGCCCTCTTCTTCGATTTCCCTCGAAGTAAATCAACCTACTCAGGATGTCAGTGAACCCACGCCGGGGCGGGGAGGGAAGTTTTGATTAAATAAATTTGGTCCATTTTCGGTCCACCTAGGAAGGGATATAATTTTATTCCCGCGGATAAATTTTTAATTTTCGTCTCGGTCCCTATCCCTGCTTCTTCGTTCTTGTTTAAACCCAAGCCTAAGCTCAAGTCTAAGTTCAAGCCTAAGCTCAAGTCTAAGGTCAAGTCTAAGTTCAAGCGCAAGTAACATAATTTAAAATTTTAAATAAATCTAATATTTTAAATAATCCAACAACATTCTAAATAATCTAATATAATCTATAACACAATATAATATAAATAACAAAATATAAAAGCTAAAATAATATAATATTCTATTTAAAATATTATTAGACCACAAAAAGAGAAACGAAACTACTAGAAAAAAATGAAGAAAAAATAAATAAATTTGAACTAAGAAAACGATAACACTACACTTGAAATTTTCTAGAAGAATTTTTGTTATTACAATTCATATTACAGTCATAAGTGTTAAAAGATGAAAAGTTAAAATTTCACTAGTTCAATAATTCTTCTCATTTCTTAGTAAGTTCATCCCGGTCTTTATCCCTATACGGGTTTATATGAGTATTCCGGTATACGTCTACCGTCCAATACGTATAGTTCGTCCCCAGTCTACTGTCATCTCTAAACCTACTCTTCCTCTAACCCAAAAATATCTCAAATTACATTTTTTAGGGTTCAAAAAAAATGATAAAATTTTTATTAATTGTAAGGATACACCTAAATTAACATTGAATGAAATAATAATAAAATATATAAAAATATTTAATTTAAATGAGCATACAACACATAATCGAAATTAATGGCAAAAACAAACTCATATAGTCGACCCCAAATGATTGAGACATAGAGTTTAGTTTAGTTTGGACATAGAGCTTAGTTTAGTTTAGTTTGGTTATATTTCGATTCTCAATTTTCACTGTTAGGATATCTTCAACTATGACTCAAATTTAAATTTAAATAAAAAGTCCAAAAAACTTGTTCTAACATTTATCTAAAACAGTCAAACTTATACCAAATTAATGGAGACTCATTTTCTTACTCAAATTAAGGAAAATTCAAATCTTTATCGAAAATCTTAAATTGTGAGATTTTACACTCTTTTAAAGATCCAATGTTCATATTTACTCAATTTAAATTTGAGTTTTCCCTCATTTAAATTTGGATTTCTTCTTTTTTACATTTGAGTTTGTTTATTGGAGTCTTTTATATCAAATCAAGTTTTTTACTCAAATGTAAATTTAAATTTGAGTACAAATTTGAGTCATGGTTTTAAATACTCTTACTTATATGGAATTGGTAGCAATGTGTGGACCTTTCTCAGACTGTTGTTCAATTTTTCATTATAAATTAGAGTACATGAGTTGCAATTATTTTGGATATGGGTTTATGTATAAATTCACAGACTGTTGGCATTTTATGTGAAATGCGCATGATAGAGTTAGGGGCTCTTTGGTGTAAGACTTAAAATTGAATACTTTAAGTACTTAATGAATTAAGCATGTTTGATAACCTAAAACTCATACCACTTAATATTTTAAGTACTTCTTAAATATAAAATTTTAAGTATCAAGTCACCAACTTATCAATTAATGCTGAAAATGCTAGTCAATAAATATTTTATTAATCCTTCATGATGGATAAATATACTCTCAATGCATTTTACATTCTTAACTTTTCAATGCCCACCATCCACCACCACCACCATTGTATCGCCACCACCATTATTGTGTCACCGCCACCATTGTGTTGCCGCCATTACCATCATTGCCTCCACCACCACTATGATGGTGGTGGTAGGAATAAGTGGAGAGATGGTTAAAAAAAATGCAAAATTAAAATAATAATAATTTTTAAACTTCAGTTTCTTTTATTTGTCAAATAGTTTGATTCAATTCAATACACCTGAATTACACTTCCAACAGCACACATTATTCCATAACCAAAACATGTCATATCGGCCTAGCACTCGGATTTATAATGGACGTACCTTACTTCTAGCGATAACAGAGGTAGCGAAAGACAAGCCTTCTTCTTCTTCTTCGAATTTCGAATCTTGTTTTGAAAATTGACTTCGTCGAACCAGCACGTCCAAGGTGAGAGCCTAGGCCCTGCGCCTGGTCTTTCTTCTTTATTGCCTTGGCCTTTTATTGGATATCGGATTGATCCCTTCCACCACCATTCCTCCAACAGATGCGGATGAATTAGTTGTCGTTATTCTTTCAATATTTGTATATCTAACCCCTGAAGTGGCTTCAGTTCCGTGTTAGAGCTAACTATTGCTTATTCTATAGCAAGTGCCGAGCAGGAAGCTTATTCGACCGGTAATGACGTAATTCAACCTTAAACACTTAAAATTCAGTATTCAATTTTCAGTGTTCAACTTAACGGCGGTTGGTTCAGGTCCACATTGTTATCCATTCATAACATAGATGATGTAAATTGAGATTTTAAATGTTTGATGGTATAAATTGAAAATTGCATGATCTTTTGGAATTCAAAGTGAATATGATTTTTCAAATTGAGCTTTTGAATACTAAATAGGCCTAAATGGATTTTTCATCATCATTTTTATAATTACCTATATTTACTTACCAATTATGAGATAAATGGGGCCAAATTTTCACTATAGAAGTTTTTTTTTTCTTTTCTTGTCTTTTAAATTTTGGGAACAACTACGATATAGGTTAATAGAAGGGGGGGTGAGCTAGGTGGAAAACTATGGAATGGAGGTGGAGGTCATGTGGTAGAGCCATTGAAGCTGATGAACAGTGTTTTAAAATTCGGCCTGGCCCTAACGGATTAACCCAGTAAACTGGCAAACTGAAGCTTAAATAGGGGTGATTCTTATATTAGATTGGTTAAGCAAAAAACCCGGAAGAAACCCATTGAACAAGGGACAATTCTTGAGAAAACTATTCAATTTGGGAATTTAGCATATATCGGTTGAATCAATTAAAATGGTATAAAAAACAGTTGTTTGGGCATTTTTTGCCCTAAATCTTTTGTTATGCGGTTTCATCCCCTCGCAACCATCTGAGTATGTGTGAGGTCTGACGACTTAGTCACCAATCTCACTCAATATATGATATCAACATTATTTTAAAATTTGGCTTGACCCAACAAGTTGACCCAGTAAATCGGCGAACTGGAGCTTAAATCATTTCAAATCTTATATTAGATCGGTTAAACTAAAAACCCGAAAGACCTCCATTACACCGAGCAGTTTATGAGAAAACCGTTCAACCCGATGGTTTAGCACAGACCGAGCGGATCAATTAAAATGGTATAAACAATCAGCCTTTTTGGGCATTTTTTGACGTAAATTATGCGACTTCATCCCCTCAATACCATCAGAGCCTCTATGAGGTCTGGCGACTCAACACAACACATAGTCAATGGCCCCTCATTCTTTGTAAAATCCTATAAAAATCAGGTATACAACTTTCGGTGAAGAATATGTAGAGTTTTGACCTGTTTTCCTTTAACTTGTTATTGAATTTTTATTTGGTGTGGGGTTACTAGAAACAAGTTGCAGTCGTTTCTCACCGGATTATTGCAGCATAATCTCATCGCCCTCAAGTTTGTCACTACCACGCTCTCCATCTCCCTTTCTCTTCTCTACATTCTCAATGCAAAATTTATTTTTTTGTTATTTTTTATTTGTGAAGTTGTAGGATGTGGTTGTGATTTTTTTGATCCGCGGATTTATGAGGGTTGTAAGGTTACATTTAGAATTTTGATATTGAATCAACCAAATTGATTGTTGATATACCGTGAAATGTGATTTTGGGTTTTTAATTTAGAATTTGACAATTTTTTTTGTTTGAATTTCTGGTTTTTTTATTTGATCCAATATACATTAAACATAGTTATTTTTATACTTATTATATTTGTTTTAAAACTATGATGGTGAACACATATAATTGTTAATTATCCATGCAGATCTGGTGCATTGCATGAGGAACCATTAGTATAGGCTATACAAATTTATATTGTAATGGATATTGAAAGAATACACTAGTTACCACCGAGTGGTTAGTCCATAGATACGNCAAGAGAAGTTCCCATCGAAGTTCATTATGAATCTTTGGGTACCTATTATGAGATTTATGGGCACTATCTAATAGTAAGAAGTATAAAAAAAGAAATTCTTTTTATATACATTCGAACCACTGTTGGTCATATTTCTCTTTATCGAGAAATCGAAGAAGCCATACAGGGGTTTTGTCAAGCCTGTTCATATGGTCCCTAATCATATGGTAACTAAACTAAGTAATTCTATGATACCAGTGGAAATTCAGGTCTCTCCGGTTCAACTAGGACCATAGTTCCGGAATTTCTACGCGAATCAAGATCAAGAAAAGGAAGTTTTCTAATCACTGACTCAAATCCATTGTCGAATCCTACTCAGCGAATATGGAGGTACTTATGGCAGAACGGGCCAATCTGGTCTTTCACAATAAAGTGATAGACGGAACTGCCATGAGTTCGAGTCTCCATAGATATTAAAACACGCGATAAGACCTGGCTTCCACTCAACGTAAGTGTGGTAGAGTTTTCTGTAAAAAGTTGTGTAGTATTGA